AAAAAACTACGACCTATAGAAAACAAAGTGAACGAGAAAACACAAGGAGATAACTGGGCGCACAAATCATATATATATTTATTACAATGGTGTAGCAGATGAATTATGATTCAAGAATAAAATTTTACCCAAGCCTAAGCTCAAATATCTATATTTGCCCATATGGTTTTTCAATAAAAACAACATAACCACATGGGTACATCTTCACATCGTAAACACAAAAGAATATGCCTCAGCAACATCCGAGGATGCTAAGTAAACTCCACTGCCCCATCTCACATAATCGCACTTTTAATGTTCGATTCAAGAAGAAGCTACAGGAATATACAATTTACAAATTTCTTGCCAAAATCTCACAGGGCCCATAACTGTATAATTTAGTTACCCATGGAATAGAGCGGAACAATTAGAGTTGCAATTGCCCGGGACTTCTGCGTGAAGACCTTGAAGAAGGTCTGCTCAAATCTGGCATTGGCAAAGGCTGTTTAGATTCTTCTCGTCTTTGTACTTCCTAAACATACAAGAAAATTGTGTTGCATGGTTAAAATCAAGTGCGAAAAAACAGCATTCATACAAAGCAAAATAATTATGGGTTATAACCATGCCTAAAACCAAAAAAAAAAAAGAAAAAAAAAAAAAAAATAATAAAATACATTTACAGAAAGCACCCTTTTAATTAAAACAGCCTCGGATCTTTCAAACGCCACTGGTGGAGCTAATGTATTTCTGATACAATTACACTTCAACTTTTTTCATATCATCACAGAAAACCCTACTTTCACATCATTCCCTAAACATTTAAAATAACTAGACATAAAGCTTGGGCTATTTCTGATAGCTTGGTAACACAAGAATGCAATTGTATAAGATTTGATTAGATCAGGAATTCCATCATATATCAACTGAAGGTTGGCACAAATTGCAGAAAATAATACGAAAATCACAGTAAGTAGTTTTGATAAAGTAGTAAAAACCTTTGTAGAAGTAGAACCACAACGAGCAAGCCCATGTGACTTGGATTGCTCTCGATGCTGTCCTTGAACTTGCTGAAACTGCTGTAAAGATGCAGCAAAGTTAATCCCATTGTACACATCACGGTGATCCTCACCCGACTCGCCATCCTCCATAATGTGTAGCTCGTCAAAGTTATTTATAACCTCAGAAAAGGCATGTCCAGATGACAGTCTCTTGAGCTGTTCTCCACTGAAGGAATACGAAGGTACAGTTTTCAACCGTGTCCGAAGAATCTTGAATGCCACACTTTGCTGCATCAAATAGGTTAATAAACTAATAAACAAGCTATACATAGTATATGAATGAGTAAATAACAAATTATGTTGAATAAATATTTTCTTCAAGCTGGCAAGTTTAAACTAACAAGGTTCAATTAAAAAAAATATATATATAAAAAAAAAAAAAAAGTTCATCGTATATATATCGAATTAATAACACATAGGACAGTGAAATATCGTGTACGTTCACAAGTTCTGAAGAAAATATTCAGACATAAAATTTAGTGAACTTCAACCACAATCGATAGTGTACACATTATGCTTGTTGAAGAGGAAAGTTAAAGAAAGAAGGCCAGGGAAATCAACTTAAAAGCAGATACATAATAACGAACTGCGAAATTTCCATTTTTGCAACATGCAAGAATAAAAATTATCAATACGAAAAAGATACTTCAGCAGAATGGAAAAATTAACTGTGGTCGGTTTCTTCAACCAGATTGAACAAGCAGCAAAACTACACACCTGAGGAAGCAACATTAGAAGCCCATATAATGCTTTTAACAGCCATATGTATCTTCCTGGTTCAAGAAGCTGCAAGATCAAATTGATATACAGCAAGTAAATGTAGGTTGTATCCATTGGAAGTAGAACATGGTACACGTAGAAACTGTTTCATGCCCTATCGTACATACACCTGATATTTGGGATGGGACGCTTCAACATTCACATGGGTCCCACATCATACCATGTGAGTGGGATGTAACAGTGTACACCCAGGTCTAAAAGCACTAAACCACGTTAAGAAATAGACTTGTTCACTAAAATCACCTGTAGTCTTAGGTAAACAAAGGTGGGAGTCTCCAGCAGGTGGATCAATTTATCCAGTTGTACTAAAAATTTCACATTGATATCGTCCTCCACCAAAGATTGAATAACAGAACTTGCATGCTGGTATGTCTGTAACATGATGCGAACAAGAAAACAAAACCAAAGCAACATTGCCAAAAAACAAATGAATAAGCACACAAGCAAAAACTGAAAAATAACACAATTAACCAGCAACCACAAACCTCTTTACCTGAGCCAATAAGCAGAGGCTTATGATGGCCATTGGTGAATGGCACCATGAAGCGTATAAGGAGAGAAATAAGTTTTTTGCAGCCGCATCGAACAAGGACTTTTTCAGGAGGTTACGAAGGTTAGCCAACTCAGATGAAGTAAGCAAAATCAAATTCAAAGCCTGAAAAAGAAAAGGAAAAAAAAAAAACTTAAACAGTTGCAATAAGTTTTGTTAAGCTCGCATTCAATCTGAGATGAGATCCATCATCCAGATTTAATATGCAAAAGAGTTGTATTTGGTAAAACAAATAATCAAAACGTGATAAAAACATTTGTGAAGGGATTTTTTGTCTAAGTCCAATTTTAGACTTAACTTTTAGTATTAAGACAGGAAAAAAATATATTTTTGAAACGAACAAATTAGGTTACCCATGAGAAGTTGCTCATCAGCAGTTAGTTGATTTTAGTTGCTTTTAAAAATTGCTTGTCAGAGATTATTTACTTTTCAGAAATTACCTATAAGAAATATTAACCTTCTCAGGTAACTTCTCAATCGATCATTGTTCAATACAAATGTATAATTATTATCTATGCTTGAACTTACATAATACCTGAACCATAATTGACGCAAATTCCAAATCAGATTCTCCTTGAAGTATATTGGAAAGCTTCCTATATACAGTTTCAGCATCTAAAAGTACACATAATCTGCGGATGATCAAAGCGCCTCGTCTGCAAGACAACAAAATTGATTTCTTACACTACACAAAATATCAAGATAAAATCATATTAACTCAGATAAAAGGACTCACTTCTCCAAGAGAGAGTTGTCAACCCGAAAATTTTGAACTAAATAGACGATGAGCTGGTGAAAATGCTTCTCATCTTTGGCTATGCATGCATGGACATCTAGCACCAAAAGCACAACCTGAGAGAGAATTAAAATTATAGTTATAATAACAAGAAAATGAAACATGCCCAAGTGAAAGCCACTTGACAATAGAAAAATCAGGACATCCAAAAGCACAAAATACATTAAAACTGAAGAGGCATTGAGAGGCATAATTACTGAGTAAAACTCATCTACAAAAAGAACACATACCAAAGTTCCAAGTTAAACTCATCTACAAAAAGCACATATACCAAAGTTCCAAGTTTTCATTGGAACGCAATGCAGCGAAGACCTCACCTACTGTCAATTTTTAAAACAAGTAGTGTAATCTTATCTTGCATTTTCTCTCGCATGATGTCGATATAAAACAAGTGTCACCAGTGCCAAACAAAAGAAACTTGACCATAATAATCATTAGATACATTTTAAGAACAAACAAAAAGGAGATCATACTTATGATCCTACAGAGCTATTTCAATGTAAAAGTAGAAACTACAAGATTAGAGTAGTTAACAAAATGGTATAATTTCATGCAAAAACTTTAATACTAATTTTTTAGCTAAAATGCAACATATTATGTATACCATACGACGCTTGAAAAAAGATCATGTAGGTAAAAGAATCCAGAGTGCAAGAAAGTACCTCATCAGAAGGATCCGAAAGAGCCTTTAAAAGAGTTTCAAAAATGTCGCTCAGGAATGATAAAACCTGGTGAAATAAGGAAGTAGAGAAACATTCATGAATAACAAGCATGCAGTCACAAAAAATTGTGCAACTACCAAATTTATTAAGCTAATAATCGAACACCTAATCACAAAGCGCCTAGGAAGGAAATTTTAAAGTGAACTTCTGAGAAGATGTTGGGGTACCATGCAAAAAAGGTGATTTTCAAGAAATGATACCGCACGAGTTTTTATCATTTACACAATAGTTAACCAAAAATCCAAGAAAAGAGGAATGGGGAAAACCATTAAGGGGGACAAAGTACAATGTATATACAGTTCTTCAGTCCAACAGAATATTCTAGAGACTCAGTCCAAAATACTACTCATCATTAAACAATAAATAGCAAGAGCTTAAGCATATTCCTTCTCATGAGGTTCTCAAACTTAGCATCTGTAAAAAACGACTACACAAAAAGAATTCTCGATCTTTTCCTAACCACCTCCAAAAGCAACAGGCCACCTCAATTCTCAAAACACATGTGAAAAGGACATTCCATCACATAAACTCAAGCATGAAGCAAACTTCAAAACTCTATCCAACTATTACACAATATCATTGTCCACGAGCAAGCATGTCTCCAATCCCTGAAAAGAATAGAATATGTAACGGTATTTAGTTTAATTACCTCTGTCCGATGTCTATTCAATAGAGTCGATATCCAGTGCAGTGCTTCAATACGAGTAGCCTCCCATTCAGTAGACAGATGCCTGTGTATGAATTATGTCACCAATTTCAATGATCACAATCTACATGGGTCATCAACAAAACAAAACGTCATGTGCAATCAATACGAACTGTTCACAGAGAGTACCTCCTGGCTACTGAGAGGATAGACCCAACATCAAATCCTTCAGTTGGATCAGCTTGGATTGCCCGAAGCTCTTCATTTGTTTCACGAGCAACCTGGAGTTTGATAGATAAGCATTTTGAGAAGTTGAACCACAACAAATGAAAAAACATAAGGCACTTAACTTATGAATCCATACATATGATATCCAAGCACATCACTGGTAACTTTCAACAACACAACTTACGACTCTAATTTTCTCTTCCTTGTCTGATATGCAAGGTAGAATTGCGCCAAGAATGTCAGCATAATGAGGTACGAGTTGATCCCCACCAAGTTTTACAAACTCATTTATCTGTAGATACAAGACTGTAAACCTCATGGCAGATAAAGCAAATGTAGTATTTTACACTAATAAATAGGCAAAGTACTCAACACCTGGAATCATGTCACCATAATGCTTACCCAAGTAATAGCAGTCAGTCGAGTAAATTCATCAGGAGAGGCTGCCCTTTGTACCAGTATCTCAGCCATGCGACCATAATCTACAGACTTCAAGAGGAACACTGCTTAAGTCATAAGTGAATGAACAGTAAAATGTGTTCGTTCTTCAAAAGATTCCATAACTCTATCCAGCTTCAGAGAAATTTATAAATATCTCATAGGTTGTCCTTTAATTAGCTGTTTAACTATGGTCAAGCCTCTCTATTTCTTCAACTGCATATTTAGAGTGGTTGTTTAGTTAGGGCAAAATTAGTAATCTACTTTTCAGTATATTATTTGCATTCTTTGGGGTAAGCAGCCATAATATCCACGTACAAGTAAAACTCGTCAATCCTTCTTTTTCTTTTCCACAGAACATTCAATGCCAGGTCCATAATGATAAATGTAACTAAACCTTCTCTGAATTTTATTGTGGCTGTGTTACTACCTCATAACGATCTGAACAAGTATGTATCTTTTGGTAAATTCAAGGTGGCTACTTAATAACACATAATTTATGCTTTATTGAAGTAAGGGAAATCTACATTTTAGCGTCAAAAAGTAACTCCAGTGCAACCTAAGCTTCTTGGAAATCCCAATTCCTTAGAGCCAACAATGCATCAGACTGGCACAAATATTTACAGGTAAAAGCCTAGAAGAGTTCAGTGCAATTGTTTAAAAAAATGGTGTGATATCATTTCCATGTATAAGGGTTCATGAAGGTTTAAAAAGATATCCTATATTTCCATTTTCATCCCACGAATTACTTAATGATGATAGTGATGCACCAAACCAATCGCATGATGAAAGAATATGGAACTTGCATATGTAGAACCCAGATGGATCAAACTGCTTAGAAAATAAGTGATATCATTTCCAAGTCTAAGGGTTCACAAAGGTTTAGCATGATATCATATTAATCCTATATTTTACGTTTTCATCCTCAGCTAGAATCTTAATTTCTCGCTTTCCCATCGGCATTCCTATTATTTAAGAAAAAATTATGAGCACGACCTACACCTGCCAGTTACTATTATCCTGCCACTTACTATACCAGATTAAAGAGCAGAATGTTACATGCATAGAGTGATAAATATTGAGAGTGAAACAAGGTGTTTTAAACTTTACAGATACTCCTAATACACAATTCTCAACGTACTTACTATAAAACATATACAAGTCCATTTTTGGTCAAGACCTTATTGAAATTCTCAAACTACATAAACCAAACATAGTCTCACTTCAGACCCTTAAAAAAGTTACATTTCATGGATCAACCTAATTTTACTTCTCTCAATGAAATCAACACCAAAACCAAATTCTAAATAGAATATCTAAACAACATCCTCGTTAGATTTATATACGGGAAAGCATCACAAGTTGTGCCCTCAACAACTTCTAGTACATGTAACACATCCAGTTCCCCAGCTTTTATATCCCGGGAAAAAACAGATATGGGGACTGCTTGTAAAAAGTACTCTCTTTATTATAAGAAGTAATACATTTCATCACTCTGGAGCTTTTATGCTTCCAAAAAAAGACCCTTCAAGATGTAAAATGTCCTTCCAATTTGTAAGATTATAAGTGCTTCTTTTAATACTGTAAGATGCCATTTATATTCTTTTTAAATGTTGTATTCCACCAGATCTGCTTACTAGTCCCACAAAATTCAAATAATGAAACCTACTGCAGAGGTAAAAAAAGATAAACAATGGATCCTACAAAAGGACACGGAGTAATTGTTTCTATCCATTACCCTTTAACTGCCACATTTAGGAAAATAGTGCAATAAGCAGACACAAATAAATATAAAAATCATAAGGGAACCAATCAAATATATAGGCCTAACACTAGAAGATGCCTTACTGGAGAGTTCTTGATTTCTTGAAGAAATTCAGAGAGTGCCGAATCAGCTTGCTGCCTTATTTCATGGCTAGAATCGCTTAGCATGTTGAATAAGCCTGCAGTTCATCGTCAATGGTATTATGTAGCAGCAAAGACACCACAAATGCAGATGAAAACTTTGACTACGAGACCCACCATCAAGAAAATCAGGAAGAAAGCCCAGCATATCAATATCAGGAACACTATCTAGAACAGTGATCCAACCGACCAAAAACTGGCGGACATACGGATTAAGGACATTCATTCTTTCTCTCAACAAAGGTATAAATTCTTCAATGCTGCACCATTTAAAAGGGCAATGGTGTCAAGTTAAAACAAACAGCTAACCTTAAACCAACTTGAGAGATCACAGAACTGATCAAAGGGAGAAACAAGGATTTTACCAACCTAAATTGATCACTCTCAGTAACAATGTCCTGCATCAGACAACAATCGAAAGAAGTAAAAATCACTCTGAGTATCTACTAAAATCATTAGGATATCTTTTATGCCATCCCGAATGATGGTATACCTTCACAAGTCTATCCAATAGATGAGCAGCACTCTGCACATTAGCATCTGAATCTGCTGACAGCTTACATAGCGCATCAAATATCTGGTTGAAGAACACTATAAAATCGCCTCTCACGACCTGCAAATCATCAGTAATTAAACCCCAAATACATAAAGGGACAGGAGTACAATACAAGTTCTTTTTACACACCTTTGCAATGTTATACAGAGCTTCGCAGGCATAATAACGAACTCTGCTGTCTTGATCAGTAAAGGAATTCAACACAGGTGGAACAATTTGCTGAAAACACAGAGGAGAGCTATCACTTAACAAAATCAATGGGCTCAATATACAAATTCATACCAGCCCAAAAAGAAAAATATTTCTCCATTTGGGGCCTAAAACAAGTAAACTTCATGATATTCTGTCCATGAATGGAATGACAACTTACTACCTGAACAACTTGAAATCACTCATCCTCAATCATATATTTTGGAATCCATATGACCTTTAGTCACATATAATATCACATACCTCAAGATTCATAGTCATTGGTTCATTTTTATCACCCTTCCAAAAGCATAAATATCTTATAGACCTCAAAACAGTTCTAAAGAATAATCAAACAATAGTCAGCTATATGACATATAGATAATAGAATATTCTTCCAGGGATGTTAGATCCTCAGCACGGACTCTCAAATCTCAATTATACAAACATTTAAACCAAGTAATTCTCAGCTTTATCATCCCTAGCCCTCTTTCCCTTTCGCCTAGTCAGAAAATGCCCGTGGAAAGAGTCTTCCCTTATGATTAGTATCCAGATTTGATGCATGTATTTACAGAAAAGAAATGGTAACACAATTTTACACCTCAAACGAAAAATGAAATAGAGAAACATCTGGAGGAAAAAGTTAACAATTACCATTTCAGAGAACATGTGAGATATAATAGAGAAAAGAAAAAACAACATTCTTACATCAAGATGTTGCGCTGCGTCTGAAGTCAAACCCACTGTTGCTGCTGCCAGTCCTATCAGACCTCCCTAAACCAGAAGAAAAACAATGTGAGACAATGAAAAGATACTTTTTTAACCTAACAAAACAGCTAAATTCAAATTCCAGACACCCTACTCCCTACACCAGGGAAAGTACAGTTACAAGGACTACTTCGAAAAAAAAAAAAAACAAATTCAAAAACCAATTAAGAGCTCAAAAGCGAAATTATAGAAACTTACTTTGCGATGATTTGCCTGTGGCGAATATGTGTACTCATTCGCCAATAAATTGATCACTGCGGTGATTTTCTCGTGGTCCCCAGCACTCGCTAATTGCTTCACTATCCCTTCCACCTAGATCCAACAAAACCCACACAAATTGACAGTGATATACATGAACAAAACAGTAAATAAGTAACGGAAAGTATCAAAAAATGGCGGAATCACAAAAATACAAGCACTTGAGTATGCAAATGCAATTTACGCACCTCCAGTGCAGCATTTTTCCTCTTCTCGTAGAGCTTATCGGAGAGATTACGGAGGACCGCAGCCGGAATCACAGATATCGCGTCCGCCATGGAAATCACCGCTCCGAAATCAAAGCTTATTTATCTCTGTTCAATAAAATTCAAAATCAGATGTACACTTATTCGAATTTATAAGAACTCAAAAAATTAGGTTTTCCAATTATCCTTCTTTGATCAAATACTGAAGCAGATCTAATTAGAGAGTGAGAAAATTAGGAAAGAGTATCAGCGAGGAGGGTGGGAGGACGACGATAAATAAGGTTGAAATTTACGAGAGAAATTATTTTAATTTTTTCTTTCCTCTTTTTAACCATAACTGTTTTTTATTTCATTTTAATTTATTTTTTTTTTTAATTAGGTCTTTTTGTGCTATTATTTCATTCAAACGGCGACATTACGAAGGGTTTTAAATCCCCAAGTATGGACTGCGATGCTAGTTTCGGACTCGGCCAGCCAATGACGTTCATCTTATCATATTATCACTTCAATCAATTTAAAAATATATTGACAAACCATTTCTTCTTTTACACATATAAAGAGAATAATAATAAAACAAATAATTACATTACTATTTACCGACCCCGATTATTAGTCACCGCCTCCATTGGACGATTTTACTCTTCTCATTTTTTCTAAAATCTCAGAAGAAATTCTCTCCGGCAAAATGTCTCATCCTCGGAGGTAAATTTTTTCCCGTCCGGCCGACGAAGACTTACACGACCGGCCGTGTCCAGACGCCAAACTCGGACGGCCTTCATGGCGTCCAATCGGTCCGACCGGACACGACCGTGTCCCTGCGCAACATTCGGTCGTACGGACCGGTCCGCCTCCTAACAGACCGGCCGTACGGCCTACTGGATTGATGAAGGATCGTGTGTTCCGTTCAACTCGTTTGCCTTGAACTAAGCTTTGCCACGGCTCAACTCTCGACGATAGATGTGGACGACTCGGTTATTAGCCTTATCTTCTCATGATATTGAACTAGCTAGGGTCTTAGCCTCACTAATTCGGTTGCATGATAAAACTCTCACGAATCTTAAACACACGAATGAACAAATGTTCTTTTATATTAATTCATCAATCTTGGATATTCAAAACAATGGGAAAAAACCCCTATTTATAGATCCTACATTATGCTACCTCTAGTCTAACTAGATCTCTAATTAAAATAATAAAATATTAAATCCTAATACTACTAGAAATATTAAAGCAACAAGGAAAGTAAATATCTTCTAACACTAGAATCCTACTAAGTCTTGATCTCCAAATCTCCCTTGCTTTGCACTCCAAGTCGGCCGCCTCAATCCTAGCCGCCTTATGTGCGCGCTCGCGCGCCGCCCGTGTCACCTATTCCTCCTTGCACGCGACATCGCGCACACTTGCTTCTTGTGCGCCCGCTTTCTGCCCATGCGCCGCGTCCCGCGCGTCCCTGCCACCCGCGCGCACACCGCTCGTCAGTCCTAGGCCTGCTCGGCCTAGGC